CTGAGAACATGATTTCTGATAGTGAAACTGCATTTGGAAATAATCTTCCTGGCACAGGTTAATTTTTTTCTCCTTCTTTGTCTGTATAGCCCCCAAACACGGTAGCAGCCTAGTCCCTGACCGTGCCTTCAATGTCAGCAGAATTCAAATAATAATTTTGAACTGAAATATACCCCAGCGCAGAGGGTAATCTGCTGTTTAAACTCCTGAAGTGAAGTATGCAACCCATTTGTTCTGGCAATGGGATACATTACACGGACTGCAAACCTTCCCCACTATTTGCTAAAGTATTGACTGTTTTTAATGCTGCTGCACAAAGTAAGAAGCAAATACAATAGAGGCATTGGGCACATTTTACTCATAGACACCAAAATTAAGCTGACAACAAGAACAAACACTCCTGTACATGTGACCTGTCTCCATCTGTCTCTACTCCCATCCACATAGTCAATAATCCTGGCACTTAAGGCCATACCTTTCTGATTTCAGAAGTCAGCTCAATGAAAGACCAACAAATTACACTGTCCATGTAAAATGACTTGACAAACTAACTTATTTTTATATTTTATAAATAACTGAGCACTGATGAGAAGGCCCCAGTGAGACATGAAAGTGAGATTTTGCTGAAAGATCGTTTCTGGGGAGCAGAAAGAAACCCTTCTTCCCTCACTAAAGTGAATTTCTCTTTATCATGCAATTATAGAATGGTCTGGGTTGGAAAGCACCTTAAAGACCATCTCATTCCAACCCCCTGCCATGGCCAGAGACACTTTCCACTAGACCAGGTTGCTCTAAGCCCCATCCAACCTGGCCTTGGACACTTCTAGGGATCCAGGGGCAGCCACAGCTTCTCTGGGAAACCTGTTCCAGTGACTCACCACCCTCACAGTCAAGAATTTCTTCTTAATATCCAATCTAAATCTACCCTCCTTCAGCTTAAAGCCATTCCCCCTTGTCCTGTCACTGGATACCCATGTGAAAAGTGCCTCTTCAGCTTTTTTGAGCTTCCCCTTCAGGTGGTGAAAGACCACAACTATGTCACCCCAGAGCCTTCTCCAGGCTGAACAATCCCAATTCCCTCAGCATTAAACCTTTTAGCCAGCATTCAGTGTAACTACCCCCCTAAATGAAGGCACAACATGTTACTGTGCATCTTTGGGATGACAATAATCAGTTTACATCCATGTCTGGATGCAAAAAAGCAAGTAAGAGGAAGGGCAAGCTCATTAGAGTCCATTGAACCCCATGGTCTGAGGGAAATCACTATCTTAACATATTTTCAAACCATTTGCAAGCAGCAGCTCAGAGGTTTATACCACGGAAGGAATATTATACTTGAAACATATCTTACTTTCTACACATTTTTTCCCTAAGTGTGTCTCACCAGGCACAGTCAGGGACAGCCTTGCTGAGCACTGTATCCAGATGGCCACCCTGATGTCTGTTATTCTCACATTATGCAAAGTCAAGTTGGTGCTGAATTAAGTGTTCTTTGAGTCTCTGAAAATCTTTCTCAGCCAGCTCTGACCATCTAAGCAGACTTCTAGGAGCCTGTTTCTCACATGGCTGCATATGGTGTCTACAGCATAATCAACATCCACAAACCACCTTAGGATTGTCCTAGAGCCAGGTGGAGACTCCTCCCTGTGTCAACAGGCACTAGGGAGAGATTCTTGATTTCCTAAGTAGTTCTCTATGCTTTAATCAGATATAAAATCACACTGACTGTGACTAAATCTCTTATAACTAAAATGAGAACTTAAAGACACCTAAAGTCAGATGCCGTGTTACTCTTGATCTAATGTAAACAATAAAGAGGTATTTCCAGAGATCAAGACATCCCAGTTTTGAGGCTTTGCAAAGGATATAGTATGGATGATATATTTATTTAGTATCCTACAAATCTAGACTGATTTTTAATGATTAATTGTATTATTGTTAATGATTATTTGTATTGGAAGGCTGGAGAGGGACTTTTTACAGGGGAATGTAGTGACAGGACAAGGGGGAATGGCTTCAAGGTGAAAGAAGGTAGATTTAGATTGGATATTAGGAAGAAATTTCTTATAATGAGGGTGGTGAGGCCCTGGAAAATGTCGCCAAGAGAAGCTGTGGATTCCCATCCCTATTAGTGTTGAAGACCAGCTTGGATGGGGCTTGGAGCAACCTGGTTTACAGGAAGCTGTCCCTTGCCCATGGGGGGTTGTAATGAGGTGACCTTTAGGGTACCTTCCAAATCAAACCATTCTGTGATTCTATGATTCCCTGTGTTAAAAATAAAGAACATTAGGAGCCTTCTGGCCAGATATATCACTACAGAAGTGGAAAACAAAGGAGGTTAAGAATAGCACCCTTTAAAACGTGGTCTTTTGAGTAACAGGATGAACTGCTGAGATCTTTCCCTACCTACTGAACATTCTGTGTCACATCTAAAATGAAATGCATAAGCTTTTTTCTAAAAGTCCTGCTTTGGGCTAATTTAAGATTCCACTTTTTGGGAACTGAATATTTATTTTTACTTCACTGCAGGCTGGTCAAACACAAGTCATCTCTTTTTTTCTTGTGTTCCCTCCATGTTGCCATTGCTGGGCCCAAGTCAATAAGCCTGGCTGAGAGACTCACTTCTCTTGGGGAAAACCTCAAGGCTCTGAGGGCGAGCACAGGCTCCAGCTGGTGCCTGCACTGCATCAACTGACTGTCCCATCCCTGGAGGCAGCACAGACTGGAAAAGGCTTTGTCACTCTCCTGAGCTCCAGGTTGCTCCTCTCAGTGTCCCAGCAGTAAATCCCTACCCTCCCACACTTGGTTTTTATCTCCCAGCAGGCATCTGCAGAGCAGCAGCCCCTGAAGGAAGAGCCCTTTCCAACATCCATCACTGAACACTGGCTTTTGCCAGGAAGCAGGAACTTTACAGGCCCTCCTGGTCACTGAGGGAGTGTTTTGGGCCTCTGCTTTGTGCCAGTTCCAGCTGTAATGACTTTGCACACCCTGGTGACAAGAGCTAAAGCTAAAATTGTGTCCTGCCTGCATCTAAACTTGTAACCACATTTCTTTTATGATGAGGCAACATCTCTGCAAATGAAATAAAGGAGGCTGAGAGCATTTTGCAGTGCTGAGACCAGCAATGACCTGTGTTTATACAATTAAACTCTCTTCAGACTGTGAATTGAAGTTGCTGCATCCAGACTGCCCATTGGGAATGGTTTTGGGGCTGTGCCAGCTACCAATCAGCATCCAGGAATTGTAAAGGCAGTGCCTTGGCTAAAACCATCCCAAGGATCGTTGTAAAAATGTTTATCAGCGAATTCCAGCGCCCAGAGTTGTTTCCTGACACAGTTCTATTCCCTAGTACAGCAAAAGTCCACTTACAGCCTCATTGTGTGGGACCTGGGTTCCCCTGGCAGTGGGTGGCCTGTAACGGTCAATGTCTGTTTGAAAATTAATGTTTTACAATAGTTGCAACAACAAGTTGAGTTTTCCTGCACAAGGGGTGATGCCTGCTGGTGAATCCTGCAAAACTCTGGGCTTCAGGAGTGCTCAGCAACTGTAAATTCTGCCGGGCAAACGGAGAATTTCTGAGGAACGAGAGGGAGATGATTTTCTTTTATAGATGTTTCACATACTGGGTGTCGCCTTCAGAAAACATTAAGTGATCAAAGCATCTTGGAGCAAATGGATTTGCAAGTGCATCCAGTATGTTGCTATGCTATTAACATGCTGAAAGCCCCTTCTGTCATCAGTTTTGTTATAGCTGATTGGAATTAAAGCACTGCAGATTCAAACTTTGAAGGAAGGTGGTTGTTTATTTTATTTCATTTTCTTTTCCCACTGAATTTTGTTCTAGAAATTCTCATGGTAATAATTGTTAAATAATGAAAATATATAATACTAATTCAGCTCTCTCCTGTGTCTTGAGCTTTATATAGAACAATATTATGAATATTCTATGTGATTTTTTTTTTTGTTTGAGTGTGATGGAAATGTGAGGTAATCTTAAGAAAGCACAGAGAATCACAAATTGTTATTTTTAACCTCTGTGAGGAGAAAAAGCAAATAGCCCACCCACCCGGAAGGAAATATCAATGCTTCACATTAAGCATAACTGTTTCCATGGGATTGCAGGGCTGAGAGTGTAGAGACAATAAAGTTCCAAAACATCACTTCATCTTCATGCTTTATAATCTCCCATTGTACAGCTGTTCTGCTCACAATGTGGGTGGCAGATGTCTATAATAGGGCTTTAGAATCTCTAAATTTGCTAATGAAAAGTGTTTAATCCCCTGTCCCCAAGACAAATCTTTAACTGGTGAGTCTGCTGGTGCTGCAGGCGCTCTATGAAGAGCCAGCTCTGCTCGCAGGCACTCGGACACCATGGTTACAGCAGTGCTGTGCATGAGGGTGGGGAGCAGGAATCCTGGGCTTCCACCACCACCAGTACTGCAGGGATAATCAGTGATTTGTATCCTTGCTTCACAAGTTCACTTCCATCTCCTCAGTGAGGCAATTATTAAAATACCAGCACAGCCTTCAGAACGGAGCCAATTCACTCCTGATTTAGGAGCTCGTCATTACACACGGCATCTCTCAGCTCCTCTTCTGCTGCCTTAGTCACACCCCCAAAAACAGACAAGATGTTGAGATCATGTTGAAAGTTAAAAATCTTGCTTGTGAAATGGCAATTACCATGTGTTAGTTTGGAAGGATGGTGCATTTCCAGCAGCAGCAGGATGAATTGGAAGGTGCAAATTTTCCGCCGAGTGTCTCATGGAGGAAAATTGAGGAAACAGAGACTGCAGATTTGAACGTATGTGGTTTCTGTCTGAGAGGTGATGTGCATCCTACAACATCCTCCAGGGCTTTCTTTGGTTCAGGAGATGACATGAGACATCCAGAGGAAGGGGAAGAAATCCTTAACTTATACCTCAATGAATTGTTTCCTTCTGATAGCTCAGAGGGTAACTGACTGGTGGTAGCTGGATCCATCAGGACTCATGGGTGAAAGTCAACAGAGCCTTGTGAGCTCTGGGTAGGACACTGCTGTTAACCAGCCAGCCCTGATGCTCCCAAAGACATTGTCTTCTTGCCAGAACTGGTAACATAGCCAAGGATCTGCAGAACTAAGATCTCAACAGGCTTGTGGGCCCCTATTCACCAAATTCGGGATCTCACCTCAGAGCTCTGTGAGAAGGGGTCTCTTTAAGGTGCCTTCTCTTCTGAGTTCAGTAAGAGCTCAGCTCCCAGGGCCAGAGGCACATCTCTAGTTTTATTTTTTTCTTCATTTTAATCACCACATATAAATATATGTTTGTAATGTTTCAGAATTAAAAGCATCCATGTGGAGAAGGAGTTCCAAACAAGACACAGAGAGCAGAAAAGAGGAGCCCCTTTGCTCTGAGTCTACTTTAGCACGAGGTGAATTGCAGACCCTCAAGTCTATGAATTAGATTTCTATTCCTTATGATGGGAGCCTGGACAGCTCCTGCCAGAGCTAAGAGGCGTTTGGACAACACTCCCAGGCACATGATGGAATTCTTGAAGTTTTTCTGGGCGTGTGGTGGTTTGGGCTAGGCCTTCCTTGGTGACCAGTTTGTAACCAAGGAAGGGTCCAGATTTACCCAGTATTCCCTACGATTTTTACGTAAGCCAGATTATAAGAAGAAAGGAGGAGAGGCCTTCGCTCTCTTTCCTTCCGGCAGCTTGGAGGTGCAGGTTCCCTGCTGTCGGGTCTGCCGTGTTGGGGAGTGAGGCCTGGTTAGGCCTTGCCGACCTTGGGAGACAGAGGCTGCCGGTGATCGTTCCGGAGCGACTCTCAGTTGTCCCAGGAGAGTAGTGAGCTATTTTCTTTGCTAACTCTTTTAGTTGTTAGATATTGGGTCACTAATTGGGATATATATATTTTTTATTTTAGTTTTGTTCCCTTTCCCTTCCCCCTTCCCTTTTCCCTTGTGAAACTGTATAAATGTAATTGTATATAAGTGTAAATATATTTATATATCTCACTTTGGTTGTCTCTCTCTCGTTTCGGGTTTTCTTAGTTTTTTTTTCTCCCTCTTCTCCCTGAGGTTTCGGGGGGGTACTTCTGGTGGTAAGGTTTGGAGACTTGGCAGGGAGACAGCTTCAAACCATATCAGGGCGGAGCCAGGAGCTGGACTCAGTGGTCCTTGTGGATCCCTTCCAGCTCAGGATACTCTATGATTCTGTGACTCTTAATCCAGATGGAGACATTTTCTCAATAGACACCTAAAACCAGGAGAGGTGAATCCCACCTCCCCCTCCACTGTGTCTTCACTGCCAAAGGAACTTATTAATTCTTATAAAGTGAATTCCTCTCAATCTTTTTCTTTTAGACTTGGTACATATTTAAATATCCTAAACGAGGTGAAGCAGCTCTGCCAAGAGGGACTGTGAGAGCTGGAGCATAGATTCTTCAACAGCTTTGTGAGGACAGGTCTGTCTGTGGACCTAGGTGGGAATTCAAGTTCCCACAGGTAGAAAACAGTCTGAACCAACAGTTACTGCACCCTCCATGAACATCCAAACTACTATATTAACACAGGAATCTCCAGATTTTACTGATATCAAATAAAGTCTGACAATGTTTCAATAACAGTTTCATTTAATATCTGTTTATACATTTTGCTTGACATCTACAGGTATTTTTCCAAATTTAGGTGTCCAGCCAGCTAAACCCAGATTTACATAATCTTAATCAAATGTAAAAACAAGGTGATAAAAACACCATGGATTCAGAAAAGTGATGCTGGATTGACTAGTTAGGAATAATCATGTGCTATGGATAGAAATGAATAGATAGAGATGCAGCTACATTCATTCCCTTACCAAAAATGATCAAGTGGAAAATAAGGCAAGCTTACTCTTCAATCACAGATTATATTTTATTTTTTTCCTTCAAAGCTCAAGAGAGTATGTCTGCGAATAAACTGAGAATGATAAGAAGTCCCTTTCTCTCTCTGATTACTCTTTACTGATACTGCATCTAATATAAAAATAGCCCATAGCCTTTATAAAATTCAACAAAGTGCAGATTTTTTACAGTAATCATTTCTGAATATAGTAACATTTTCTTTTATTTACAGTCAGGATTGAAGCAAGGCAGAAAAAACCTCACCAGAACCTTTTTATAAAACCCACAAGTTTCACTGCAACAAAATTAAATGATACAGATTTGACACAGGAGGCAAAGACGTGATAATAATATATATGCATTTTTCTGGGATAGGGGGAAATGAAAGAATGAACTAATTGCATTTTTATCTTAAAAAGAAGTTAATAAATTACCATTTCAAAGTTGGATTTACATATCCCATCACTTTGCAAAGATTAGCTCTTTCTTTGATAGTTTTTTCTTTCTCACATTATTATTCTGCCTCTTGGATGAGATACTCAAACACACACACACACACACAAAAATAAATTCCACAGCCCGCTCTTTTGCAGTCAGTAAAAGGTCCTGTGGCACTTTCCATAAGAGCTGGAAGTGCCTTAAACATCAGTGTCCTGGCAAAAGTCCAACTTGGGTAATTACATTCCGTCCTGCCTCAAAGAAATCCTTTCCTCCAGCTATAATTTCATTTGGAGACATTGTTCCACACTTCTCTGCCTGGAAACGATTGCTCCGTGATCTCGGCTGCCACATTGCAGAGAGGAAAGAGCTGCATTTTAGTGCCAGTAAAGTGTTTTCTACAGACTCCCTGTCACTCAGAGCTCCCCACTGCCCACCTGAGCCCAAAACACCCCTTACAAGCTGCCTGCTCACAGTGTGCTCCTGGGTGAAGCCCTCAATGTGCACTTGATTTCTACAGGAAGAATGTGGAATAATGGGCTGTATTTCATATAACAACTGCAGTCATTTGTCATCTGCTGTATATGGGCACCTTATGACTGCCACAGCAAGAAATTTAGAGGTAAATAGAGCTGACAGCTTATATCACTAATTTCCTTTAGGATAAAACGTGATGATGAATGATTCAGAAATGCAAAATGGCCATGAGAATTCAGAGAACAATGTTTTCCTATAAACATAAGGTGCATCATGAAACTATCTTTGATTCCTGTCACCAGACATGAGTCCTCTTCTCATGGAATAGGATGAGAGGAGATCTCCCAGTGTCTTTTCATATTGTCCCTATGGAATTCAAGGTGGAGGTTATCTTCCCCATCTGCATAATTTTTTCTTTCATGGAGTGATAGCATCTTGTATAATTATAGACAGTTAAAAGATCTACATCTAAAGTACATTTCAAGATTGGCCATCGCTGGAGAGCAATTGTCCAATAGGTAAAGAATCCCTTCCAACAATGGGTCTCTAAGAATATGAATATCCTGCCCAATCCTTTAAATTAGTCTGGATAAATTATGCAAGATGCCAGACTGCTCATTGCTGATGTTGGCTGAGATGAGCTGTACCCAGAACAGAGAAAATTTGAACATGAGTCAGTGTTAAAATGTGAAAAAAAGAGGGTGCTGTATTGCAGCAAGAGTAAAAGTTGCTGAAAGTTTTCTCTTACCCTGAAGGTAGAAAACTAAACAGGAGTACAGTCCTGCCCTCTCCAGGGGGCTGAATCATAGAGCATTTTTATTAGTTTAAGAAGGGAAATGGTCTCCTGAGCCCTCTGATCCCAAGGTCCTACAGACAGCTCAGCAGGAGACCTCTGGCTAAGGCAACCCTGAGCTTCCGGAGGTTTCAACAGGGGACTGATGTAACCACAGACAAAGGGATTCAGTATCTAAAGCAATATATAAACAGAAAGAAAGATTCTCACAGTCTTCAACAGGTGCTACGTCAGGACCCAGCCGTCAGCTTTATAATTTAAGAGGGAATTTTCCTTTTCCTGTGGGACTATTCCAGGAGGATTAAACTCTGACTTTGTCAGTTTGGAAAGAGATTATGTCCTTGACTTGATGTCACTATTTCCTTTCCTCCTAATTAAACAGAAAACTCAGCACAGGGGTAAGAAAGAGAGAGAGAGAGCAAGAAGGAGAGAGAGAAGAATTAAGGAGAAGCTGATCGGAAAAGCCAAGCAGTTAAAGTCTTTTAATTTAGTATTTTAAAGCTTTTCTGTGAGTCTGCTTCTCAGAGATATGACTGTTAAAGAAAATGGATTTTCCTACTTCCAGCCAACCAGAATATATGTACATATTTATAAACACCCACAAGCACACACACACTGATGTACAGGGAGGAGGAGGAGAAAATATTACACTGAAAAAGATGTTGAAGTTGTATCAAAAGAATAAGACGCAGAAAGAATCTTTTCTGAGAAAATCCATTTTGTGAATCCATGACTAATCCCTGCAGAACACATACACAGACACACAGAGAAAGGTAAAGAATGAAGCAGCACAGCTCTACTTAAAGACATATTCAGCTCCTGGCACATACACTCGGGATTTCAGCGAACCCCTCCAGGTTGAGAGTTGCCCACTCTTTTTATAAGCACATTTTTAAATAAAGTATTTTACCCCTCTGTTAGTAAAATAAATAAATGAATGTCCAAACCCCACCAAAAACCAACACAGGCATCTTGTGGAGGAGCTGTGAGCTAAAAGATTAGACCAAACTAGAGTGGGGAAAGAGCTCACTGTAGAGTGAGGCATTCATGGTACAATTTACATCTCAAATCTAAACCCAGCCTTAGGACTTTCCTCTCTTCCTCTGTGGTTGACACCATTGAAAGAAGGAGAGATGTGTTTAAGGGGCAAAGAGTGGGGAGGTGCCAGAAGAAAAGAAATGTGGGGCTGATTAGTTGGCTGATATTCAGATGTCAGGCCATAAACGTGTCTGTTCTCCAGAGAAGCCCTGAGTTATTCTGCAGCCCCTCTAGCCCATGCAGTCTCATTAAGATCCCCCTTGGGATTAATAGAGATTTCATTGATCAAAAAACAGCCAGAGAATCAAACAGCTTGGGTTGTAAGGGATTTCTGGAGGTCCCTGGTTCAACCTGTCACATGGGGCAGGGACAGCCTCAAAGTTTTATGCAGCTCACGTCCCTCTTTGTTGCATTTTGGTTCCATGAAAAGACCTAATCACAGGCAGGAGGAAATAATCCCTCCCTTTGCCCCAAGGCATTGGGTTATTTATTGCAGCTGATTGACTCTGACTTCTCCAGCAGTGATTTTACATTAACACACATCAGTGTACGTACACACAGACATACCTTCATGTATCTTCTGAGGATAGATGGGCACATATGCACAAATGAATGAATAAATGAATATGATGCATATTCAACTTATCCTAATACACATCAACACCATAATTAACTTTGCCACAGTTTGGTTTTCTGTACAAAAGAAGTTGAGTGTCCGGATCGAAGATGGGGATGATCCAGGGTCACCAACAGACCAAAACTCTGTGGAGTGACCAGGCTGACCCTGGTGTGTGGGGGAAGGCAGCACTGGGTGTGATGTGGTTGTATAGTGCCAACACAGCAACTGCTCACACACACAGCTAAAGATCTCTGCCTGATTTTCTCCATTTGCAAAACTCACCAGCTGTGGCCGTGTTGCTCCTCCTCTGGGAGGGATTAATCCCTAAATCCATGTTTTTGTCTCCTTATATGAAAAAGCAAGATTTCCAGAAGAACTGAAAAGCAGTGAGTAAACAAACACAGCACTTTCAGGGAAGAGGGACACCGAGATCTGGCTTTTTCAAAGAGATCTAGAAATGTAGGTCACCTATTGCTGGACTTGGATGGTTTCCATCCCTGCCCTTTTTCTGCTAACTTTTCAGCTACCCTCTTTCTTTCTGCTTTTAGATCCTGCTTTTCCAAGTTCCAGCCCGCCTCTTTCCAGCCAGCTGTGTATGTGAAATGACTTTGGGACATGCTGGCAGGGAGTAGTTTTAAAAATAAACATGTTGATATTCACCAGGAAGACACCGCAGGCTGCAGGCTCCTTTCTGGGTGATAAAGATTTAATTATTATATGCTGGCCCTCCTTACTGTCTTCCCAGCTGTAACAGGTGCCTGAGTTTCATCTTTCTTCCAGTTTTTTTCTCAAGGTAATTAAAACTTTGTCCTGGAGATAGGTATATGCAAGTATGTGAGTCTCTCCCTGCTTTAAAGGGAGACATTTTTATTTTTTATTAACTCTACTAATCATGAGAGGAATTATATATAAACTAAGCTAGGGAAGCTGCAGGGAATTCTAGGTTTTATCTGGTACTGTGTTTGCCTGTAAAATAATCCCATTTGGGGGGAACCTGCTATGGTTTTGATTTTAAGCAAAGGTTGTGTTAATTTTGTGATCCTGGTAGCTTTATTCCACGCAACCCTGGGATTTAGTTCTAATCCTGAACAAAATGATTTTTCATGGGAGAGAAAGAGGCTGCAGCAACGAGGACAAAGCCCTGGCCTGCAGCAGGATTTTTCCTCAGGCTCATTAAGTGACTTGGGGCAAGACCCTCCGTGGTACATTTTATAATGGGTCTCAAGTCACTTTGATCACAGTGTGATCAGATGCTCCTAAAGCCTCTCTGTACTCCATTTTACCTGACATTGTACTACGGGGTTTGTGAAGAAATACAGAATGTAAAACAGCACCACTATGACATTTCTGGACCCCAGAAATTTTGCATGGAAC